CTGAGAGGAGCGGCGGGTGTGCCGCAGCACCCAGCCGGGCCGCAGCTCTTCGTAGCTCAGTTCACCCCGCCGCCTCCCTCCTCCTCCCCCCAGCCTAACACAGCCCCCCTCTCACCTCTCCGCACCCGGCTCAACGCTGACTGAGAGCGGACGACTGCGCGCACGCCAGCCTATACCCACCTCATGCAGATGAGTTGCCCGCCTCCCACCTCCTATTGGCCAGCTCGGCCACTTACGGCTTCTCTATTGGACAATCCTAACGCATGCTGATCTTCCATTGGTCGGCACCGCCTCGCGCCAGCGGCGATTCAGAGAGCGTGCGCTACGTGCCGAGGCAGCCTGCCGGGCTGTGCACACGGCGCGTGGAAAATCCCAGTGGGGGGGGCGGGCGCGCGGGTTCACGGCGGGAGGCGGGAGCGCGCGCTGGGCGCGGGAAGCGGCGATGCTGCGGGGAGCGAGCGGGGTGCAAGGAGCAGGAGCTGGGTGTGCAGAAAGGGTTTTTTTCTCCTTGTGCACCAAACCACTGCAGGTCTGCTCAGAAAGCCAGGGACATCGACGCACAGGGTTTCTCTGCAGCTTTGTGCGTGAAAAGAAAATGATTCTCGTGCGTGTGTGCGTGGGTATTGGGGACGTTTATTTTGCTTGCGGTGTATGCAAAACCCGAACTTTTTGCACGAACTCGGTGCTACAGTGCCCCCGAAATCACTGGCTGGGCGTAAAGGTAAAGGCATGCATGCACAGGAGGGGGTCCAGCCCAGCCCCCGGGCTGCAGGGAACAAAAGGTTCTGGCTGTGCACAAGGAACGGATGCCCCAAAGGCACGTGCTTGGGGACCAGCAAATGCATCAGAACAGGGCCCAACAGCAAGCCCTGGCGTTAGGAATTTGCCCAGAGAATACTATGCACAGCAGTACTGGCCAGGAAGTTTAAATAAAAAATAAATTAAAAAAAAAAAAACCAAACTGGAGTCGAACTGCTGCTTTATAGGCACATCTCTCGTTGCATGCCAACCCCCACAGCTGTGTGTCACAGCCTTTGTGTCACAGCCTTTGTGTCGCTCTCAGGGCAGCAGCAAGCAAGCAGCGAGCACAGCATCCTCCTGCTTGCAGCAGCCGAGAGGTGAAGCTGCACCGTGCCACGTGGAGGCAAGCAGAGGTCCGGGCTGCTCTTAGCCGTTACCCGGCCTGGCTCTGCTTTCCCTCTGTAAAGAAGAAATGAGAGCATCCCCGAGGCTATGAGCTGTCTGGCTGGCAGAGTTCCTGTGGCAGTCCGGGCTTGTTACTGCTTAATGCTATCCTGAGCAGAATTTTTGGCAGGGGGGCATGTGGCTAATGGGGCACACTGGGAAGGAACACATTTTGGCACCTTAAAGCTGTGCAGCTGTAATCCGCCCTGACAGCCCAGCAGCTCCAACCCAACACACAGTGCTGGGCACCCATACAGCACTGCAAAACCCACCTGCGCTGCAAGGCCGGGTTGCATGATGTGTTATATGCAGTGCATGCAGCTTATTCCACTGCTTGCAAGGAGCTCATGGTTCTAACCACCAGGATGCTTGGGGAATGGAACCTCTGCAGGCCAGGACTTGTTCCCCAGCTCAGTCATACACCCCAGCAGCTCCATGCAGAACAGGCTGCCTTCCAGGGCGTGAGCTTTTGCTCTGTGCATGCATTTCCTTAAGACTGCGGGGATCTCTCTTCCTTCCTCAGTGCACAGCTGAAGGGCAAGTGCTCCTCAGCTCAGCTCTGCCAGCTGGGCCCTATTTCTATAGGATTCTTCCAAAAAGCACTCCTGTGAACCAGCAGCCTTGCAACAAGGCCTTCCTGAGTGCATCTCCCACCTGCAGCCCTTGGGGGCTTTGAGGAGCGCTCGCTGGAAAGGTAACAGCACTGCCCAGCACTGCTTCTATTGCACATCTCGCATGGCTTCTCAGGTGTTCTTCTCTTCCAGGCAATCCAATCCCCTTCTGACTTTCTACCTTCTCATCCCCCTCTGCTGTCATGCTTTAGCCTTGCAGCCTCTGGGTGATGAAACACTGCCAATTTTAGGCATGAGAATAGCAAAATGACCAGAGGTGACAGACTGATGTCTTTCTTAAAGTGCATAGCTTCGCTCTTCTAGTTCTCCTCTGTCCTCCTGGGGTTTGGCAGCTGGGCCGCTGGGTGCTCTGGGAATGGTCTCAACCTCCTGACTTCAGGCACTGCCCAGCTGTGCTGCTCAGCCCAAGCAGGGTGATGCTACCAGAGCGCCTTTCCCAGCAGCTACCTATCAGAGATTGAGATCTGAGGGTAAACTGGAAGCTTTTAGAGCAGTTGGATGTGAATTCCAAGCTCTATGCAACCTGAGCCCTGGTCTGGTCATCCTGCTGGTGGGTGAGTGGTCAGCTGCTGTTGGGAGATGGTGTTTGGTACTGAACTAAGAATGGGAGCCAGCGGACAGTATGGGCGAAACAAGTAACAGCTCCTTTGTTGTCTGAATGAGTGCACAGCACTCATGCAAAAAAAAAAGGTTATCAAGCAGGCTTCTCTGCTGCAGAACAGGTATGGCACAGACAGGGAAGATTTACATTTCCTTCTCGATGCTCTCCTGCCCTAAAAATCAACCAGGTTCTCATGGGAAATGCTCTCAGCTCCCGTTGCACAGGCCGTGGTGATGGCAGTGGAAGTGTGCAGCCTCTCCCGGTGTGCTGGTGGCATTGCCCACCCATCTGTCCACCAAGCTGTGGAATGTTAGGAAATTAATGCTTGCACAGCCCTTTGGAGGTGCAGAGTGCAGTGGATGGGCTCATCCCAAACCTCACTGCATTGCCTCTGGCCACTGGATGTCACAGCTGCTCAATGCGCTGTGCAGCTCATTTTTGGCAGCAGGGATGTGCTCTGTGGAAGTGCAGAGCACCTGCAGCCCTACTGAGATCAGGTGAAACATCCCAGCTACAGCATGTTGCAAAAGCTCCCCTAAGGATGAATTCCCTGCCAGCCTCAGCTCCTGGCTCGCTGTCGGCTGCTTTTATCCCAAGCCAATCAGTGGAGTGCACAGGGTGATGGGCAGCTGTGGGGTCACTGCACCCTCTTGGTGCAGCTCATGCTCTGTGCTGCTGTCTGGAATCCAGGAGTGCACCCAGGTATAAACACTGAAGTGTCTCCTCAGCGGATTTCAAGGCTTATTTACCCAAGCAGATCCACACGGATTAGGGAGTGCATCGCAGGGCACGTTTGGTTAGTTCAGCCCCAGCACAGTTCAGTGCAGCTGTCGAGATAAATGATTTCTTTAGGGGAGAGAAAGAAAAGTATGCGTTTGCTTAATTAACTCCGTATTATGGCAGTTCCCAAACATTAAACGCATGTACAAAACCGCCAACCAGGAGTGCCTTGCAAGGCTGCTTTTTGCTGGGCTGTGATGGCTGGGGAAAGGAAACATCTGGCAATGTACTGAGCAGCTACAGGAGCCCACAGGAGCATTGGGGCACCCAAAGCCTCTCAGCTCTGATGTGAATCCCTCTAATAGCCACTGGGGCTTTGTAGAACCATACAGTCATTCCAGTTGGAAAAGAGTTCCAGGATAATCATTTTCAAAGGAGCCAAGTGCCTGCAGCACCCCGTGGGGCAGGATGGGCGCTGGAGGGGCTCAGCTGGGAGGAAATGGGCATTTTTGCTTCCTGGGCGTTCTTAAAGACAAGTGCTCCCCATCTCCATCTGGCTGCAGATGCAGGAAGAGATGCTCATCCCGACGGCCCTATTGCTGCTGCAGCTGCTGAGCTGCTCCCACGCCGTGCACTGGACCTACCGAGGTAACACAAAGGAGGAGGCTTTGGGATGGCTGCTGCTGCCAGCTTGCTGAGGCGCTCACATTCCTCCTGTGCTGCAGAGGCAACACTCAGCTTGCTGCTCCTTTTGTTAGCAGCAGCTCTCCAGCGAGCAGCCAATTCATTCCGCTTTATTGCTGACTGTGTATCTTGGAAGGGGTCCTCTGGCTTTGTGCTGCACTGAGCCGTGAGGTGTCGGGGCTGGCAGATGGACGGGCTCAGATGAGGGGGAAAACCTTTATGATATCTTAGAGTAAAAGCTGCCCTCGGGGTGATCCTGGAAGGAAATGTGCTACCTACTGCTCGCTCCTTGTTTTATTGTGCAGGTCACAAAAAAGAGGCTCATCTCCGTATTTATAGATCTTGTGGAATGTTACTTGATTGTTAATTGTTTCAGGGGCTCGTTTGCAGAGCTCAGTGTAGCGAAGGGCTGTGCTGTGACTGGGGCCCAGGCTGGGGGATGCTGAGGGCCTTAAGTTACTTTCTTTTCCAAACAATCACCTCTCCTTCCAACCCATCCCTGCAGGATTTGCACTCAGCAAGGGCACAGTCACTTGCTGATGATTCCCTGGCTGTAGCATGGATTGTCTCAGACAGACAGAACTCTAACAGTGATGGGTATGTGGCAATGCTGGAGGGATGCAAGGAGAGAAAGTCACCCCAGTCACTGTCACTTACAGCCACGACAGACATGGCATCAAAATTGCTGCTCAGCCTTAAGATCTTAAATCCAGCACTATGGAGAATGCAAATAGCCCCATTGTGTTCAAGCAGTTGAGAGCAGTTCCAGCAGCTCAGACCTCTGCAGGAAGGATTCCAGGCAGGGTTAGGAGTCTCAGAGCCACTGGAGGAAGGATGGGAGCCCACATGACTGCTCTGCCATGCACTCACTTCCTCCAAGGGTGGGCACAAGATGTGAGGCAGTGTGCTGTTACCGTCAGGCAGGCTTCACACTTTGCAGCTCAGCAGCCCTGCAGATAAAATACTGTACATTTTCTGACTCCTGAGCAAGCAGCAGCTCCCACCGCATGCTAATAACCTGCCTGCTCCTCCACACAGAGGGCGAGCTGGATGAAGAGCACTGGGGGCTGCACTTTGCTGCCTGTGCTGGCAAGCAGCAGTCTCCCATTGACATCCAGAGGAAGAAGGTGGTGCACAACGTGCAGCTGCTGCAGCTGGAGCTGAGTGGGTACGGCCGGCCGCTGCAGGGGGACTTCACCATGACCAACAACGGGCACTCGGGTAAGGCTGCAGGAGCAGGGTCAGTGCTGGAGGACATGCAATGCCCGGTTCCCTTCAGCTGCACTTTGCAGGCAGCAGCAGTCCCTGCCCCGGCCCACACACTGCTGCTGTGACCAGGGGGATGCTGGCAGCAAAGCCAAGGCATGCATTTTTGAAGCACAGGTGTTGTTAATGGTAGTTCTGGCCAGAATTCCCAACCTTTGTTTGGTCCTCTGTAAGAGCTCTGAACCTGCTGAGCAGATGCCCTGGGAGAACATCAGACTCACACCGTTGCAGGAATAGAATGCTGGGTTTGGCCATTTAAAATGCTGTTCATTTCTGAACTTGCCCTCCTTGGCTCTGCAGTCTCACTTCATCCTGCACTCCAAGCTCTGCTCTTTTCCCCAGTCACACAGGAAACCTTTCCAGAAATCCATCTACAAACCAGAGAAATGAGAGGCAGTGACATCACTGCAAGGTACTGTCTGTTAAACATCAAACAGGGATGGAAGGCAGCTGGAGCACGGCAGATGAGCCCCTTCTTTCAGTGCATTGATGACTGCAGCACTGAAGGAGCAAATTTGGGGCTTACCGACTCCTCTCCGCATCCACAAAATGCCTTTGTGCAGTAGGAATCCTTTGCCTTTGTGCAGTAGGAAGCAGAAGTGATGGGACAGATCTGCAGCTCAGCAGTGAGCTTGCATCCAACGTTGTGTTCCATATACTCAGACAGAGCAGTCGCCCTCCCTTTGAGCAACGGTTGGTTTTCAGCCCTCAGGAAGGGAAGGAAGCTGGAGCACAGCCCAGGCTCAGTGCCCTGCTTTAGTCACGCAGGGCCTCTGAGCAAGGCTTTGCCATTAAGAGGTCCTGGATGCTGCCAGAGCCTAATTCATTACCTAAATAATTCATCAGCTGGTGGTAGTGGGATAATGCTTTTGGACTACAGATGAGCAGCGAGAGAAGAACTGGCTAACAACTGCTTCAGGGGGACTGAGCACTTTCATGGCATTTGGAACATGAGGGGCCCAGTCAGTCTCTAATCCTCCCCCCCCAACAGTCCTTTCTTCTCTCCACTGCAGAGAGAAATCAATAGAGAGGGAGAGCAAGGAGCTGAAGAGATGAGAGATGCTGTCTTCAGAGAGAGACTGCTGTGATCATATTTCTACAGTCTGTCATGAACAGCACTCCTGTTTGTCTCCCACACAAACCCTGCGTTCAGTGAGCTCCCATAGCAGCACTGCCCAACTGCCTGCACACCAGTTCTGCAGCTTTATCATTCACATCTCTGACTGCACGTGTGTTTTTCCCCCATTCTCATGCTAACATCAAAACAGTGACGTGTGGGGCATTCTGATAAAGCACAAGGCAGATGACAGTCTGTAAGCACAGATACCATTATAGCAGGCTTGGTTTTCCCACTGACTTTGGTGAGGGAAGACAGGACGGCAGTATTCCACAAGGAACTCCTAATGGAAAGCACTCAGCAGGAATCTAGTGTAAAAAGTAAGGTGTGTGCTTACTCTCCACTACAGATCCCTTGGGATGTCACATGGAAATGCATTCTCATCTTGTCTGCCTGTCAATAGCTAACAAACAAATAAGCCTCTAACCCAAGCTGTGAGTAACGATGTGCTCTTCAGCAAGGAGAGCTGCTATTTTATAATGTGCTCTGGGCTATCGCCCGGATCAGGCAATTCTCCACTTGCAGTATTCAGTTCGGCATGTTTAGCACCACAATATATGATTTGTGGCAGCACACCAGCAGAAAACCAATTTTTTGTAGTCCCTTGGTGAATACCCTTCATAAAGAAACAAAGAGCTCTGCCTGCTCAGGCTCATGGGGCTCTGGCCCTGCACGGCTGTCCCAAGGAGATGCACGTCCCAGAGCATGGAAAGTGATGGTGACAGGTTAGGTAAGGCCAGTCGCTTGGCTGATTTCTTACTCCTCTGTTCTGCCTGGGAATAAAGACATTAATGAATGCATGCAGAGCTCAGCAAGATGTGATGTGCTATGCCAAGAACAAACATTAAAGCATTTTTATTGGTGCCTGAGAAAAAAAAATAAAATACGCAGCTGCCCAGCTGGGAAAAACCCTGCAGACACAGCTAGCAGAACCAGCTCCACACTTACGGCCATCTCCAATCCTGTTTTTCAGTCCAGATTGATTTGCCACCCACCCTGTCCATCTCCCGTGGGCTCCCGCGCCCCTACACCGCAGTGCAGATGCACCTGCACTGGGGAGGCCTGGACCTGGAGACCAGCGGCTCCGAGCACACGCTGGATGGGATGAGATATGTGGCAGAGGTACCTGCAAAGGAGGCTGGAGGGATGGGGCCAGGGAGGTTGGGATATAGTCCTTGAAGGTGATGAGGATGAGGCAGTCTTTTGTCACCTCTTGCTCCATGGCCCTGTCTCTCTCCTGGCAGCTGCACATCGTCCATTACAACTCTGCAGACTACTCAAGCTTTGAAGAAGCCAAAGACAAACCCAATGGACTGGCGGTGCTTGCCTTCTTGTATGTGGTAGGTTTGACCCATGGGAAGCTGAGCAATGACAGCCCATGGTCACTATTCATCCCACACTGGTCCAGCTGCCTGCAGTAGGGCTGCATCCCTGGCCTACAAGAGATTGAGGCAGAGCAGTGCTACTGAAGACCAGGCAGCTCAGCAACCTTTCAACTCTCTGTGCTGTGTTTAGGAAGGACACCTGGAGAATACCTACTACAGTGAATTCATTTCCAAATTGGCAAAAATCAGGTTTGCAGGTAAGAGCTTGGTTGCCCTTCTCCATCCTCGATGCTCTTTAAGCCTCTACATTCGTACTGGGGCAAAGCCCTGCTGCTGGCTTTGCTCACAGCTTACACAGCTTCTGTTTCCTTTTGAGGTCAGTCAACCAAGCTCACCTCTCTGGACGTCCAAGCCATGCTGCCAGAAAACCTCTCACACTTCTACAGGTACCAGGGCTCGCTCACAACCCCACCCTGCTCTGAGAGTGTCACCTGGACCGTTTTCGACTCTCCTATCATCCTGTCACATGCACAGGTACCTGGGGGCTGCTCAGCAGCACAGCAGTTTCTCTTTCCTCCACACTTTTCTTCCACGCCAGTTTCATTCTCCATTCTCCAGTGACCTAAAAGAAGAGCCTGCAGAACTACTAGGATGTCTTTCATAGGGCCTCACGGATAGACTCAAAAGCAACTGGAATGACTGGTGTGGCTGTTAGACCTGAGGTCTGCTGAGCAATAACAAGGCTCTGCTCAGCTTTTCAGCCATGATGAAGTACTAAAGGGACCAGCCAGAGTCAACAAGGTGAAAAGTACTACAAAAGAGGGAGAGAAGGAAAAAAAAAATCATAGATGAGGCCATTCAGGGCATTAAAATAATTGCAGAACACTTGGCACAATTCTAGAGAAGTGTTTCTTTTCTCTTTGCATTTTGGCTATGCAGTGGGGGGTTCGTCCGTGCTCTGGCTGAGTTATTGCTGAGGACCTCGTTGTGTGCAGGTCCCTGTGCTCAGAGCCAGCAGCTGGATGCTGCTGCACGGCAGGATGCCCAGCTCTGCCCTCCCTCTGCCTTGTCAGCACAAAGGCTTTGGCAGAGAACAAATAGCAGCAGTAAAGTGAGCTTACGGGTGAGTCTTGCAGAGCAGTTCATCTTTTGTAATGAAAAAAAAGCATCAAACTGTTTCCAGGAGAACAAGGTCAAGTGGAGATGACAGCAGTGGAGGATGACAGTGTGTTTGTGTTTAAAAATGAAATATTTTGTGGTGGGGAAGGCATTAGTGGGCACTCATAATTAGGCAGTATACCACAGAATAATTTCATCCATGCATAACACGTAGAATTACTTCCTTCAGGCAAAACACCTTCATCAGCACCACTTTGCTGATTAGAGCATTGACTGCCATTCCCTTCCCTTGTCAATGCTCGGGGAGAGACCTCACACAAATGACTGTGTTTAACCCCCAGCTGCAGGATCTGCCCTGCACTTCTAGGCTAACCTCTCGGTCCCTCTGCCCTTATAACAAGGCTGCCCTGCCCCCAGATCGGCCTGCTGGAGAACACCTTGCTGGACTGGCACAACAGGACGCTGCGCAACGACTACCGGCACGCACAGCCCCTGCACGGCCGCGTGGTGGAGGCCTCCTTCCAAGCCAGGCCCAGACAAGGTATGAGGCAGGAAGGAGCTGGGCTGCAAACCGTTTCAATTAGGTAAAACTACTGCAATCCCCAAGAACAGCTGTGTCCCTGCCGTGCATCTTGCTTCTGATGGTGTGGCAGCGGCCGCAGGTCGGGTGGCAGCACTCTGGTGTGCTGAAAGTGTTGCACAGCCCAGGACTGGTGTTGCTCTGTGACTTCACACAGTATGTTGTGTGCCTGCCTCTGCATGGGTGAAGCACACAAACTGGTGTACAAACAGCTCTGCCATGGCTAACGAGCCAAGTGCTGTAATTAGGGCGAATCACTGCATTTTAAAGCAAAGGTTTCCTCCATACCTCCTGCAAACTGGCAAGCAGAATTACCACACATAGCTCCTGGCTCTCAGAAAGCCCCCATCTGTCTGATTGCTCTAGAACAATGCCAGCCAGAAGAACTCAGCCTCAAACTGGAACAAATCCACGCACAGCTCCGAGACATGAAGAAAGAGTTCCTGAATGGAGTGAGCCACACAGGTAAGAAACACTCTGTTTCTAAGTCCAGCTTTCCTTCCAAGGATGGCCCAGGCCTGCTGTTCTGATGGCCTACATCATCAACAGGTTTGGTACCGATGCGTGCAGGTAGAATCTTGTTCCATGCCTAGGCCAACTGGAAGACTTCCATGAGCTACAGCATCATTAAACCCAGCCCAAATCTAGCACCTCTCCCAGCAACTGCAGCTTGTCCTGCAACGTGTAAGCACAGGTTTACAAACAGGGAGGCATTAAAGCTCACTGTTCCCCCAGGATAAATACTCATTATCTTCATTTTACTAAAGACGGGAACAAAGGAAGGAAGAGGAAAAAAAGGATTTTTCCCAAAAGAGTTGGGTGAGGGAGCCAAGCCACTAACCATGGCTGAGGCAGCCCCTGCCACCTACACCTACACCTGTGGGTATTCTGTAGGAGCTGGGCTCATCTGCAAGCACCAGAGAAGACGTAACTGAGCTGGCTTCTCAATCATTTCAGGTATTACATCCAGCACTTTCCCAGCTTTCTACTTCCCCATGGAAAACATTGAGAGCTTTGTGGAGGTTCGTCCCAGCCATGAGATGTCTCTCCAAGCCTTCACCCTGTGCTTCTGGACACAAGCCCAGCACGTGGGCACTCAGACTGTTCTCTCCTACTCCACACGGGAGAGGGACAACGAGCTGGTGATGACCATAGGCACAGACGTGGGATTGTGGATAGGAGGCCATTTTGTCAGATTCCCCCTCTACCACAAGGCACAGGACTGGCTGCATTACTGCATGGCGTGGGCTTCCCAGTCTGGAATAGCAAGTCTATGGCTCAATGGAGCTGCTGGTGATGCAAAGAGCATCCAGAAAGGCTATGTGAGCCAGGCTGGAGGGATGCTTGTCCTTGGGAAGGACAGGGACACTCTTCTTGGGACGTTCTCCAATGGGTTTGCAGGGTGGATGACGCATGTGAACCTGTGGAGCCAAGTCCTCAGCCCTGCAGACATTCGGTCACTTGCACAGTGCAAAGCAGGAAAGCTGAAGGGAGATGTCATTGCATGGGGGGAAACCCCCATGACCCTCTTTGGGGGGGTGGTGCTGGAGGCTGACACCAGCTGTCAGTGACCCCAATATATATATGTTTTAAGCAGCTGAAGAACCCAAACTTCTTGCTGAAGAAACTAAGGATGGAAAGCTTGCTCCATCTGCTTGTTTTAGGTTAATTGCCTGTTTCCTCTTTTACTTTGTATACGGTCACTAGGCACCTGCTTAGTGCTCCAGGTTGTTTTCCAAGCAGGTACGAGGTGGCACAGCCTCCACTGGTCAGTGGGACAGAGGCAAAGAACAAAGCACAGTTCACCACCTTGTATCTGCACATCCCTCCCACTACTAGGTTAAGATTTCCACCCATGGACCTTCCTTTTGTATCCCACATGCCACTCTCTTTGGTTAGAGAAACAGCTCTCTCTAGCCAAACTTTTCTCACTTCCCACATCCCATCTCCATTCTCAGTGCCTTTCCTGCACCATGCTTTATTTCCATTTATCACCAAGTCACCACTGCTGCAGGGGTATCACGTAAGAAGGTGTATGCAAAGGGCAGTGCAGCTCCCACACAGTCACTTGATGACAAGTCTTTGCTGTCAGTGGATGGAGACAGAGCATGGGAGCAGCTTCATTTCCAACAGGTGCACATCACAAGACAAGATTGAGGGTCTGCATGAAGCTCTTCTCCTAAGTTGAAGTACATCACACAAAGGGCTATCACCAAAGTCCATGCCAGGCTGTTGAACCATCCTGCTTCTTTCCCCCAACAGAGAGCAGCAACATTGCACAATTAACTCTATTTCCACATGTTAAATAATTGAGTTAGCCCTATAATCCTTCACACTAATAAATACTTTAATAAATCCTCCATTTATCAGCGTGCATTTTTATTTCCCTGGTGAGTCAGATCTAGTTCTTCAGACTTGGCTCCTCCAAACCGGTTCAGCCTTCAGGTGGAGCTGTGCCCTTAGGGACACAACCAGAAGGAACCACTCAAGGACCAACCTTTAGACCAGCTGAGAACTTTTTCAAGAAACCAGGTCCCTGAGAAATTAATTCTTTGGAAAACTATTCCTAGTGTCTCACACCAAGGTGCTTAAAGGCGGATCTGAACATGCTTGGAAACACGGCCACTGCACAGGAATCTGCCCAAACCTGACCCCAGCACGCAGCAAGTTCACACATCTCTGGGAATGAATGATCTCCACCTGGCTCATATACACAGAGTGTACCTCTGGGGGCTATTAAAGGATTAGGAGAGGGGCTGAAACTCTTTGGCAGCTTCTGTGAGAGCACTAAGGAACAAAAGGAGCTATTTCCAAAGACTGGAAGTGCCACAGGAACAACTGTGTATCAGCAGCCCATGAATAAGCACAGGGCCAATGGAACACTCCTAAGCTCAAGAATAAGGCTCTGGAAGGACTCACCAGCAACTGTTAGCTTTCCAGGAGTCCATCTGATGAGCAGGGTGGGAGTGAGATTAAAGTCACGTGCATTTCCAGTCTTATGGTCCTTCGTACAGGTGACAGGATACATGCCTCTAGGAACACATCTATCAGAGCACCTTGGTGTATCTGACACACTCTCCACACAGAACACCAAGCACCAAAGGCCTGCCCTCACACATGTTGGACCCTCAAATTCATGTTCAAGGAATGGTCAAGGAGTACAATGCACTCCTTGCACACGACTGAGCAAAACCCAGCCCAGGTGCTGTTCCGTGTCACCTGAGATGGTTCACTCAGGACATAAGGGGCACGCACCACACTGTGACATCAGTTCCTTGATCACAGGAACTGAGCTGACAGCAGGCGTTGCCCCTTCCTAGTGACAAATACAAGGAATGGGAAATCTGCCACTGAAGTCACCATGCCACAAAACAGAGTGGTCCTACTGATTACTCAAAATGAGAACAACCTTAAGACAGAATAAAGGCTTATTTGAAAACTTCTGTGGGAGTTGTGCAGAAAGTCCGAATGAAGGTCAGAATTGAGCCATATTCTTCCACTGAATAGAAAACACCTGGGCCAGGCGAAGCACTGGGTTGTGTCACAGATCACTGCCCAAAACTTCTGGCTTGTCTGCCTTCACACTTGGAACAGTCTGCAAATCCATCATCTGTTCTACGTCTGTCTGAATCTCCACCTTGTTTCTCTTGGCCATGATTCTGTTAATTTCCATGAAGGTTTTATTCTTCGTCTCAGGTACAATGAAGAAGATGTAGATCATGGTGGCGAGGCATATACCACAGAAGATGAGGAAGCTGTAGGCCCCTAGTCCAGCCTGACAATGAAAGATGACAGGGCAAGAATCAGGGCAGTACTCCAATTGTGGTCAGTACACGCTTGGGCATGCTGAATCCTGCAATAGCAATTCATGCAGCCACAGTAATGTTCCTTCAAGTGGAACAACTCAAAGCTAGTGGTGGTTCAGGATCCTGTCTTCTGATACCACCAAGATGGATTTATTGGAAACCATCATGGATTTACTGAAAAAGATTCCTAAGGGTGAGGACCTCTTACACAAGTTCAAGTGAATTCACCAGTTCCCCTTGCACAGGCTAAAATCAGTCATTATAGCAATTTATGGGTCACTTCTACTAGGATCGGTGCGAACTGGTGACCCAGAGATCACTAATTTTGAGCTAAAGCCATGTGCCATCCCCTGCTCACACCTTACCTCCATGTAGAGGAACACGAGTCCCACAGTGAAGTTGCAGAGCCAGTGCACAGATCCACCCACCATGAAGGCAGCAGGCCGGGACGACTGCAGGAACATCTCAGTGATCATCACAAAGGGGATTGGACCTGGAAGAATTGCATGCATGGAAATTCCAAAGGCATTCCTAAAGATGCAGGCACACAGCATCCACAGCCCAGCTGGTAGGTCTCACCAATCTCAACACAGCTTTGCTTGAGATCTCACTGGACATCTCAGTACAAACTCAGCTGTGCCTTGGCTTTTCCTTTTGAAAGCCAGATGCTCCCCTGCCTCATGGGCACAGGAGCACCAATCTAGCTGACAATCAGCCAGGTGCATGGCTGCACAGGAGGAATTTGACCTCCTCAGATCAGCCCCACAGAGCTCTTAGTTTGATGCTCAGTGTAATGCCTGCCTTTACCCAACCTGCAGAGGGGACTGGGCTAACTTGTGCGTACTCACTGGCTCCAATAGCATGTCCAATGATGTAAATGATGACACACACTATGCTGAGGTAAGACATCCATGAGACAGTATTCTGTGAAGAATATAATCAGGAGTTAAGAGTTGGTTCTCAGCTCAAAGTCACCAACACATTCAAGGCATTAATTGAAACAAGATTTGGGGGTGTTCAGAAGTCATCCCCTGTTGCCAGCTATGCCCAAGCTGACATGCCAAGCTGTTGAGCTCATGCTCTGTGTACCACCTTTGCTTCCAACTACAGGATGCAACAGGCACAAACACAATAGGCAGGGAGAAACATTCACACAGCAGCATCATGACTCTGCCTGGGTTCACTTCGGATAGATATGCAGGTACTGAGAGACCTCCCACACCAACTCCAAAATACACCAGGAGCACCAGGGTGATGCAGCTACAAACCTGGAGGTTTAGGGCCAAAGTCAACACTGCACAGGAGCCGCAGCACAACCCAAAGCCAGCAAGCAGCAGGATTCTCCTTCCCAAGGACTCCACAATGAAAACCTGAAAGAGAAAGAAGAGGGTAAGAGATCAAACAATCAAAGCACAGAGCTTTATTCTACCCAATTTTATTAAAGTAATATTTGGCTATTAAGAAATGCAGTGAAATTTCCCCCATTTGCTAATGTATTGTGAGTAAGAAGTCACCCAGGAACTGCAAAAAGCCAGGCATGCCTTCTTTTGCTACCCAGCTCCAGAGAGCTGTAGGGGAGCATTGCATGGCAAGAGGAGGGCAGAGCAGCCTGGAAACCAAACATCCAAAATCACTGAGGCTCAGAGAGCCCCAACAGAAACTTACAGCAAGGAAAGTCATGAGAACGTTGATGGCACCGATGGACACGGTGACATACTGAACGTTGTTGGCCTCCACACCTGCTGACAGGAAGATTCTGTCCGCATAGTAGAAGACCTGCAGCAAAAGCAATTGTGTTTAAACGTGGCCAGCAGCAGAGCACAGGAATCCTACTCTGGTTCTTTCTACAACCCTAGAAGTGGGACACAGGAATTGAAAAACTATTTCAGTACTGGAGATGTGGGTGTTAAGATCCAGACACGAGCATCTCACTCCAAAAACATCCCAACTACCCTCACAGGACAGCTGGACTCAGAACCACGTGCATACTCAGTTTGGTACAGGTTAGGCTGATTCTCCCATAACATCACCAGTGTCCCTGGTGAAAAAGGACTACTCTTGTCTCCTAGTTTCCAGCTCCTACACCAGTGCTGCCCCACACTGAGTCCCACCCCACTGTTACTCACTCCATTGACCCCTGAAAGCTGCTGTCCCATCATCATGACAACAATAGAGATGAGCTGCCAGCGCAGGCCTTTGAAGGTGCACAGGGTGAACACAGAGAGGTGTCCCTCTTCCTTTTCTGACTTGTCTTCCTGGCGCATTTCTTCTATCTCATCATCCACATCATCCCAGCCTCTCAAACGCTGCAGAGCTGGTTGGGAGAAGAAGATGAGCTACAGAGCCCAGGAAGCTCTCCTGCTTTACATCAAGACATTACAACATTCAAAGCCAAGGCAGTAGTACTGCTCACAGGATGGGAAGTCGAGAATTCATGGAAGCAAAGGAGCAATGCTGCAAAAAGCCAACCACCAACAACACGTCAACTAAGGATTTCATGCAAAAGAAGATGCCGTACCTTGTCGTGCTTGATCCTCATCGCCCTTCTGTATCAGCAGATATCTGGGACTTTCAGGAAAAAAGGGCAATGTAAGGAGCTGTAATGCTGATGGGATCCCAGTGAGCCCCAGGAGCAAGGGCCAGCCTGCAGCAAACAAGACAAGATGATGACTGGGAGAGATTTTCCTCCACGGAGCCGACAGAGGATTTCCTGAGCCAAAGCTTTACCTTCAGCATGCCCAAGAATGCTGGTAAGACCAAGGATC